TGCACCTCTGGTCGCAGAAGGAACTTTTCAGGAAGCGGGTGTGTCTCTGTCTGCACTATTCGGACTAAATCTGTTTCTTGCAAGTTTTTTTTTTAAAAAATTTCACAAAGATCTACTGTACATCTGCACTGAAACACTTTTGGTGAGCAAACGACAAATATGTGCATCACAGCTGACGTCTGCTCCAGACAATCTCATCCCCCTGCTGATTCTCCGCTTGTTAAATCTTTAACGCGTCCTGCTCTGTGTGATCAGATTTAACGAGTTTTTGAGTCATTTTCTGAGTAAAAAAATGAATCTCTCTCTCTCTCTCTGTGTTATCAGACAGATGAATCATTAAAAAAAAGTTATTTGATCATAAATGCCACCTGTTTGCACGCTTTCATCATTATTTTTTTTATGTTTATCTGTTTTTTTTTCATGACAACATTACAACATGATGACTGCGATTCTTTTTTCGGCTCAAGTTTAAGGCTTAAAAGCAGAATCATTCACAGAGAGAGTGTGAGGATGAAAAGAAGGAACGTTTAGCTGAAAGGACACAACATTTAGAGTCTTTAGTGGAGGTCATGAAGTGTAAATCAGCAGTTTGTTGGAACCGGGTTTGTCTGTTTTGAATCAGGTTAGCCATCAGGTCGTCAACATTTTCGATTTAAAATCATGTTATTCCACAAATCAATTCAAAGTGCAAACAGAGTTAGAAACAGAACTTGGGGAACCTTAAAGCTCCTGTAGGGAACTTTCAGTTTGTGTCGATTTTGGCGCCCCCAGAGGACAAAGCGCTGCCTCTTATCTCTTTGCTGATTTTGTCCCGTACGTGTGTGTTTTGTGTAACTCTCTTCCTGCAGTCTTATCCAGTGAAATGTTTCATTATTTGCTGTGTGAAATGTTTCTTCAGCATGCTGTTGTCTGATGCCTACCCTGCAGCAGCATCGGCTATGTAGGAAATATTCCATCTTAATGATGATTTTGTAGCTTAGAAACAAAGAAGCAGTGACATTAATTACTGTCTGTTTCACAACCGCTTAAGAACTCCTCAGAGGAGCTTTAAAAGAAGACGTTAAAAATCTAAATAAATGAAAATATCCAGATTTTTTTTCTTCTTTCTTCTTCTTTATTTACTTTGTTTGCAGTGAGTAATCACTGATCAGACATGTGCTTTACACGGCTTCAAGTGTCATAGTGCCCTGCCCCTGATGTCCCTGACTACAGAGTCTTACCTTCCCAGACTCACACAGATTCACCTGCTGGTTTTAACTTTATCAAAATGGATTCCTGAGGATTCAGATTATCGGTTTGTTCCGTCTGTATCGGGCACACCCCTGAGCTGCACCGGAAACCCCCCCGCAGGGATGCTGTGGTTACAAAATCAACGCCCAGTCTAAATCTGCCTGAACTTTCTGGCTAATAAAGACAAGAAAATATCCAGCTTTGGTTGCCTAGGACAAGTATTTCTGTTGCCGTGGTGGCATTACTGTTACCAGACTCATATAGAAGATTTTTTTAAATATCTGATATGATAACCCTCAAAGTGTGTCTGCTGTGTGTGTGTGCATGTGTGTTTCAGAGGCTTCCTTACTTAACAGCATGAAAAAGTTCCTGTGTGGATTTAATACCTCCGGCGCCTTCAAAGAAAAACACACGCGCGCACACACACACTCACACACACACACTGGGCTCAGCAGGAGCCTGTTTTAATGAAGCTAACCTCCCGGTTTTAGGCACAAGGGCAGAGGTGAGGGGGTTAAACCTGGGGGAAGTCCGAAAACAAGAGCCATCTCAGGGAAAAAGGAAGAGAAAAGAAGAGCGCAACACAGAGAAAGCCAGAGAGGAGAGAGAGGAGAGAGAGGAGAGAGAGGGAGGGGAAGTGGTGAGTGGGACTTCTACCAAACGATCCCACTACAGATGAAATTGAATCAGGTGCTTTGGCTCCAAACTGAAGAAAGAAAATCCACTCCTAAGTCCCCGAGAAGTCAATTTCCTAGTCGCGGTAAAACGTACTATTCACCCTCTCTCTGTGTTTCTTTCTCTCTGGTGGTCTGAGTGATGAAGAGGGTTTTAGAGTGGCCTCCTGCACTTCCTTAAAAAGCCCCCCACACCAACCCGAACTGCCAATCACTGGAGTATGCATGGACTCTGCCTGGGAACATGTGTGTGTGTGTGTGTGTGTGTGTGTGTGTGTGTGTGTGCGCAGTCTCTATATTGTCGTAGATCACGGGGGGGGGACGAGAAAATCAATTTCCAATCATCTCAGCGCATCGGAAGATAAATGTCTTTGTCGAACGCACACACACAAAAATCTCTACGCTCCGCCTCTTACAGTGTGTGTGCTGCAGCTGCATTACTGTACATTTAAATGTGAGCTGTGCATTCCCGGTGAACCTGTTAAGTGTGTGTATGTAAACACACTCTACAGTGAGGTCTGTGTGCGGCCTCAAACACACACACACACACACACACACACACACACTGTCAAACTGTCAACTTGTCACATTTTACACGTTAACAACTTTTTTACTGATTTCTTCATCTGATAGGCAGATTGAGGTTAATGCAAACTTTGGGTTACATGCTCTGCTGTGCGTGCATGTGTGTGTGTGTGTGTGTGTGTGTGTGTGTATACTGTAGGCTTGAGGAGCACTTTCAGAGTATTTATTTGGTTTTAGAGTTCCAGCGGTTAAAGGAGCACGGCTGTTTTCCAAACCCCCCTACGTCCTGTAAAAACAGTATCAGGATACACTCTATTTGATTCAGGCCAGCCGCTGTGTTTGTACGTGTGTGTGTGTGTGTGTGTGTGTGTGTGTGTGTGTGTGTGTGTGTGTGTGTGTGTGTGTGTGTGTGTGTGTGTGTGTGTGTGTGTGTGTGTATGCATGAGTGAGTGAAAGCACACGTGTGTTGGTGTTGTGTCTAACAAAGCACAAGTGCAGCTCCATATTTGTCTGTTTTTAAATCTTATTCTAGGATCATGTGGATTGATCTCAGAATCAGAGGACTCTGAAACATGACACCATTTTTCTGTTGGTGTGTGTGTGTGTGTGTGTGTGTGTGTGTGTGTGTGTGTGTGTGTGTGTGTGTGTGTGAAACAGGTGAAACAACATGTGCACGTGTGTGTCCATCTAGAGTTCAGTTATGTTTGCACAACTTCTTAATTATTTATTTTTGTAAGCGGAGGTCATGTTTTGTCTGTCGTTTGGAAATGAAACATTTCTCCATCATGTATCCATTAAAACACATCGTACTGCGGCTGCGGCTAAAAAAAGGTTTTCCCCAAAGTGAAGAGAGCCGAAGCGGATGTGTTAAGGTTGCTTTTTTTCTCCGAATCAACTGTGCAAAATCCAAACCCCCAAAAATGAAAATCGAGTGAAAAGCAGTGAAATGAAAAGTCTCTAATTGGAGAGGCTGCGGCAGAAGATTTAGCAGAAATCATCAATTTCCACTTTTTAGTTATTAGACTGTGACACTGATTAAGGACTAGAGAAAACATGTAGCCAAACTCCTGTTCGCTGTCAGAACTGCACAAATTTGTTGTCAACTTTACGCACTTTATTCTCTTTTGCTCATGGAAGCTTCTGGTTAAAAAAAACAAGACTGACAATCTCGTTGTTGTCTTGTTGTTATTGTCTCGAAAAGTATCAGAAAAGTGGACATTTCAAGCATCATCCTACAGCTTTCACGAGTAGATCCAGTACCACTTCTTGTCTTTGTACATTTGCCTCCATGTTGACTGTATTTGTTTTGTCCATGCTGTCTCAACAACATGCACAAGCCCGTCTCCCAACACTCACGATGCTCAACCTTTTAAACATCGAGTTGATCTTTTTTCTGTATTCTCGGTGTTAACTGATCCCTTGGCTCAGATACAGGTGTACTGTTTAAGCAGGAGGTGGAAACAAGAGGAGGGTTTGTGATACCTGCGGCAGCGACTATACGACCGCTAACGGCGAGTATGCGAGGAATGTGGGCTCTGCATTAGCTGTTAGCCGATTAGCATGATGGGGGGTCAAGGCACCACGGTCGGGGTCAAGAGCTGGAGGGTCAACGGTGAAAGGTCAAATAGTCTGTCTGGGACTTTGGGGGGCCTGTCGGGTGGCAGACGAGACAACACAAGAATTGTCAGGAGGGGGTGAAGAATTCTGCCGTTTGCTTTTTTCACACACGCAGCACACCCAGTTTTTTATCCATGCGTCAAAACACGATGACGTCTACATGTCCTCTTTTAAATCATGCAGATAATGCAGTTTGCTGTTTTCACTTCACCTTCATCAGTCAGAACAGAACAAAAAAATATCTTTCAACTTTACATAACTTGATTCATATTTGCATTTGAGTACACTTAACACCTCATTCCTTTGTTACTATTTCTGCGTTCATCCTTCAGCGAACCAAAACTGTGTGAATCCTCGACTAAAGCAAGTTGCTATACCAACCAGGAGAAGTTCATATGGCTCACTTGTTGTTGTGTTCGAGTGTGTGTGTGTGTGTGTGTGTGTGTGTGTGTGTGTGTATATACGTTTAGTGCTTGTTTGAACGAGGAGGAACATAAACACATCAAATCTGTCTGCACCATGTGTATCTCTACCTGCGGTAAATTAAGTGTTTTTCTTTCTTTCTTTCTTTTTTTTGTGCTCCAAATTTAGCAGCGGCTTAGTTAAAGTGGCTGAAAATTAAATCTCTGCAAACCCCCAGCGCTCACTCTCAAAAACAACACACACACACACAAACACATCCATCGCTCCTCACTCCTTAAAAGCAGAGGAAGGAGGGGTGGAGGCGGCGAGGGAGAGATGAGGGAGAGAGATGAGAGGAGGGAGGGAAACGGAGGTCACTAGTGCCCCCTACAGGCTCTTTAAGCACTTAGAGCCTCTTCCACCTGAGAGGGATGGATGGATGTTCAAAGCATGACGATTGAATCGCAGCTGATTTCTTAGGCTCGTTGACGGGTGTGTTTTGTTGTGCGGGTGAGTGATGAATAGAGACAGCTGAGTGTGTTTGGTGAAGGAATGCTCAGTGTGCGCAAGAAACTCAGTTTTGCAGAAGATCTGTCTGTGACTCTGAAGTTCCCCCCTGCTGGATTCAGGTGATTACATCAAGTGCTGCAACGCAAGTGGCTCTGGTGACAGCTCGGTTTAACTCTCTGCAACCTCATTTCTTCATTCTCACTTCTTGACTTCATCTCTCTCTCTCTCTCTCTCTCTCTCTCTCTCTCTCTCTCTCTCTCTCTCTTTGTCGTATTCAGGGATCTCAGCGAGAACCAGATCCAGGGGGTTCCACGGAAAGCCTTCAGAGGAGCTGTGGAGATCAAGAACCTGTAAGTGGCACTTTGTCTACACTTTCTGCAGACGTGAGTGTGTGTGTGTGTGTGTGTGTTTGTGTGTGTGTGTGTGTGTGTGTGTGTGTGTGTGAATGTTAATCTGTTACTTCCTTTTCAGCGTGTTTGCAATCCCCATGTGTGCGTGTGCATCAATATTTCATTGTGTTAAATGTCATGTGCCTGCTGCTTGCTGTATTGACCGACACTGCTGCTCATTAGCACACTTTGTGTGTGTGTGTGTGTGTGTGTGTGTGTGTGTGTCATGTGGCATTTGGTGTGTTTTGCTCTCTTTGTTTTGCCTCCGTTATAGTTTTGATGATTGCAGATAATTGTGGGTCATTTTGCAGGTAGTGTAATTGCCCAGCAGTAATTCTCAGTATATAGATTTTTTTTTTTCAACAATTTAGCTGCATCCTGTTTTTTTTTTTTTTTTCATCCACGTCAAATAATTTCTGCGAAATGCCTTGCAATTATTATAAAAGGACAGGGCAGCGTGTGTGTGTGTGTGTGTGTGTGTGTGTGTGTGTGTGTGCATTAGCATGCGAGTGACAGCACATGATTTACTGTCCTTATGTCTTGATTAAATTGTTTTAGCAAAGCAGTCCTGGAAAAAAAAGGAAGAGAGAGAGAGAGAGAGAGAGAGAGAGAGAGAGAGAGAGAGGGAAAGAGCAGAGCATAAATTAGACGTCAGATAGAAAAGAGCATGAAACAGGAATGCATAGAGACATGAATGTGTGAAAGGAAAATGAGCTCAGAAGAGACAGAGCTGAAGCAGAAGAGACAGAGCGAGGTCGTTGATGAGTTTTCTAGGGGCGAGGGGGAGGGGGAGGAAGGGGGGGGCTTTTTTTAGTTGGCTTTTTAGTTTGATTTTCACCTGAAGATTCACCCTGAGACACTTCACACCCTGCTATTCTTTTCATTTTCATTCTTGTGTTTGTTTCTGCAGCCAGTTAGACTACAACCACATCAGCTGCATTGAAGATGGAGCTTTCCGAGCGCTACGTGACCTGGAAGTGCTGTGAGTACCTGTTTGTCCAGCAGCAGAGCTTTGTGTGAACGATGAACACTAACAGCAGCAGTGCGATGTGGAGCCGCTATTATCCTCCTTGACCTTTAAAAGACTGCATTCCCTGTTTTATATGTAAAGGACAGTTTCATATATATACATTCAGGAATGACACTTAAGGCTTTTAAAGATAGTGTCACTATCTTTAAGACTTCACAGAGGCAGAATTATGAGAAGATTGTTGATGTATGCACTGGTTCATAATCATATTTTAAGCTCTAGCAAGGAAATGCACACCCATAAATACCATAAACAGAATCATATTAAAACTGCAGATCATTTACAATGTTTGAACAATTCCCCAATTTACATATTTCTGTCTCCAGCCTGCACTATATTTGATATAATTGTTTCATGAATTATGTTGTTTTTGCTGAAATGCGTTTTTAGTTTGATGAATGAAACAACACTGTGATTGTTTTCGGTGTCATTTATTTACCGACTAAGACGTCATATGTTGTCTGCAGCGATTAATTAAAGTTGTGATGAGGACGTTACTTTTCTGTGTTTGTGCAGAAGCACTGAAAGCAGAGATCATACTAGACAGCAGACGAGTACGGAAGCCTCAAGTGGTCATGCAGCCAGACATTTAATTTTTTCCTGTTATGACAAAACATTTGGTTTGCTGCTCAAGATATCGCAGGTTATTTTTCGTTATCTTGAGACAACAAAGATGGTTTTCTTGTCATAAGTCAATTTCAGGGGATTTCTTAAGATCAGGATTTATCTGTCCTGTTATCTCGGGTTCAAAAAGCTACTTTTGTTGTCATATCATTTCATGTTCTCTCTTGAGATTGGGACTTATTTTTGCCGTCATATTGGGTAACAAAGCAGTTTTTTCCATTAAAACCAGTAAATGTATTTCATTCTCTCCAGAAGAGAGCGACTGGGACTTTATTTTTTAACCTCTTATCTCTGGATAGCGGAGCTTTTCCCGTTATAACTCATCATGTTGGTCGTTATCATGAGGAAACAAACAGGTTTTCTTATGATAACTAGTTCAGGTTTTTCTCGAGCTTGGAACGTTTTACTCCTTTTATCACAGGATAACAAAAACTGGTTTTCCTATTAGCCTGATAAAATGTACATCATTATCTTGAGGATTAAAGCTAGTTATCTCATGATAATAAGAATGTTTAAGCTGTCTCTCGAGATTGGGACTTATTTTTTTCTGCTATATCAGGATAACATAGCAGATATTCCCATTATAACTCATTTAATGTCTGTCATTATCTCAAGGAAAATTAATCTTGTTTTTTTCGATAATTTATGAAGTAAAATTTCAGGTGTTTTCATGAGATTGGACTCATTTATTATTTAGTATTTCTTGATAATAAAGGAGCTTTTTCATCATTTTGGATAGATTTTAAATCAGAAAAATGAAGCTTGTTTTTCTTTTGATGAGTTAATTTCAGGCGTTTTCTCAAGATCAGGACTTATTTGTCTTGTTATCTCAGAAGCTGTTCCTCTCCTGGATATTTTTGTAGGCGATCATGAGAAAACAAAACAAGAGGTCGGTCCCTGTGACAGGCCGGACCACGACATGCCATGCTGCATGTCAGTCCAAACTAATGAGCTGACCTAAACCTATTTTTATGTTGTGGTTTTTGCTTTTTCAACTCCTGTGAATTGTGACCTAAAGGTCGAGATCTCAAGACGACAACCTGATATAACTCATGACATTAAAACAGCTTGAATAAATTATATGGATGCATGTCCTCTCTGGGCTTCCATAGGTAATAAGAGAGCTAGTTTGTAGGATATATTGTGAAAGTGACAGATGTATCTTGAATTTGTACAGGAAAAAGATAATTTAAAGACGGTAATTGTTGTGAACTTTGACCTCTCAGCAGAGTTTAAAATGACAGTGGGTACTTGAGTCTGATTTTAAAACCCTTCTTGGCTGACTTATCTCTTTCTGTGTCTGTAGAAAGTCCACTTAATCTATACTCTGCTCTTTTCTCTCCTCAGCACCCTCAACAACAACAACATCAGCCGCCTGTCTGTGGCCAGTTTCAACCACATGCCGAAGCTCAGGACCTTGTAAGTGGCGCCGCCAACATTTGCTGCACATTATCACCCCGGGGGGGAAAAGCTTCCTCTCATCCTCTTCTGTTTGTATAATTGACTGATCGATCTGTACTTCCACCTCTGACCGCTCGTCTGTCCCTCCTTCCTGTGATCGCCCCCTCCTCCCTCCCTCCCCCCCCCAGTCGCCTGCACTCCAACAACCTGCAGTGTGACTGCCACGTGGCCTGGCTGTCAGAGTGGCTGCGACAACGCCCCCGTCTGGGTCTCTACACGCAGTGCATGGCCCCGCCGCACCTGAGGGGGCACAATGTGGCCGAGGTGCAGAAGAAGGAGTTTGCCTGCACAGGTGAGTCCAGATGTCGTATACTGATCAGTGAGTCACGACCGCTTGCTCTTCTACCGTCGCAAATCTATTTACTCGCTTTGTCTCGTTTGCTCTTTCTCGCTGTCTCATGCTTTTTCAAGATGAGGATGAAGGCAAGTTTCCATCTTCCAATGTGTGATTTTCTTCACATTTATCTTTGCATGAGCTGTGCACGATTAAACAAAGAATTACAGCAGATAGAAAGGTCACTCTTAGGAACAGATCTCCCCTCCTCTCACCTGTTCCCTGCTTGCCTTTGCTGCTGTTACATGCTTTGATTTTCTTCACTGGATTCTGTCAGGTTTAATGCCCGTTACTTTTTGAATTTACACCAAGCGCACCTATTATCCATGACTAATATCAGCCCTCTGTCTCGGTGTAGGTCACCAGTCGTCATCCTCCTCCTCCTGCAGCGTGCTACAGTGCCCAGAGTCGTGCACCTGCAGTAACAACATCGTCGACTGCAGAGGGAAAGGACTGACAGAAATCCCCACCAACCTGCCTGAAACCATTACCGAGATGTAAGGCACACACGCACACACGCACAACCCTCTATGCATATACATGCACTTTAGCACACAAACTCCTGTATCCACACTCGGAGTGCAGTGATATTTCTCCTGCTCTTTCACTGTGCCTCTCCTTTCTTTGTCTCTTTCCACATTTTCTGTTCCACTTGTTCTCTCTTTCTCTCTGTGCACTGAAATAAAACCACACATCTGTGAAATGGGAAAGCCTGGTCATGCAGCTCTTGCCTGCTTAAGAAAATAATGAAGGGATGAGGGAGTGAGAATTGAAAGATTAATCTGAAGGACAAGACCGATCACATCTTAATCTAAAGAGGAGGGGAAGAGGAGAGGAATGATTAGAGTCAGCAGATGTAAAGTGCAAAAACTGAGTTACACTTGGACTTGGACTAGTCTGAGACTTAGCTTGAGACAAAATATTCTATTCTAGATTCTCTTGTTTTTTTTAAAGCCATGAAAATCAAAGAGTACAATTAAAAGAACGTTGACCCTAAAGTTTAAAATTTCTGCAACATTTTTTTTAAAGGATAGCCCTCTGAGGTGCAGCGTCTCATTTTCAAGAATTGTCCTGAAATCAATAATCCTTTAGAACCGTTAAAACCTTGGCGACTCAATTTGCTCTTGATTGGCCGAGTGGGGGAATTTGATTGGCTTAGGAATTGAATACCAGAAAAATGTTAAGGACAGCACTCCAAATTGTACTCATAATTCACGGACGTGAGCAGACGCTCTTCTTCAGGGTGCAACAGAAGTTCACAAGTCTAGTCAATCCCAGCAGGTCTCCACTTCACCACACACCTTCAAACAAAGAGGTAGTAAACAAGCAGCATCAACAAACTGTTTCACCTCAGAGACCAGATCCAACGTAGAGACAACAGAAACAAAAGTACAGAAATACAGCCGACAACGATCAGTTCACAGGAAACAGAAGAATGAACTCTCCTCATTCAAACCATCGGGAAAGAAGGTACCAAAGAATGGATCCAATAAGCTTCCCTCTGCAGAAAGATTTAGTATGAAGGAAAATTTTAAAAAGTAAATTGAGATTTGTCTTCAAGTTATCTCATGTTGGCTTCTTTGTATTTAATATTTGATATATATCTGTATTCGAGAAGACCACTTCATCAGTTTCTACACAGCGTTTTAATCGTTTACAGTCCATGGCAGCTTAGTTTGAGAGGTCATGTCTCGTACTTTACACAAAATAAAACTGTCTGTCTGAGTGGGTTTCAGTCGGGACTCAGTCTTGTTGTCATGTCTCATCTTGTGTTTCCTGTTTTAACTTAGTTTTAGAGCACAATTTTTTTGTATATATTTTATTGTTATGTTTTTTTTTTGCTTGTTTAGAACTGTTTCTAGTGTATTTGTTGCTGTCCATCGAGGGACGAGAATTGCAAATGAGTGGGAACTACTTATGGTACAGGAATGAAGACTTGACTTGAGGCTTGATTTAATAAGACTTGGGATCTGATTTGGAATCGACTTTTGTTTTAAATTTGGGATGCGCTTTGTCGTCTTTGAACTGCACTGAGGACTCTTGATTTTTAAGACTTGACTTGAGCTAGTGTACGATAACTATAGACATAACACTTATGGACTTTAATAGAACTTGTCACAATTGATTTCAGATTTAACTGGAGTCCTGCCTTGACACACTCGACTTCATTCCCTTGTAATTATTTGACTTGACTCAAGATGTTCTGTTGACTTGGCCTTAAAAAAAAACATAAAAAAACAGAACCCCTACAATCACTACAATGCTCCTGTGTGACCAGTCGAACATGATGGTTCTGAAAAAAATAATAAAAGATTAGAATAGAGCTGAAAAGAGAGCAGCAAATGAAAAACATTTTTTTTTTAGAGGGGAAATGTTTCACAATCAAATGGTTGGTTTGCAAATCATGTTCCAGCGCCTTTTCTTGTCATGCCGACTGAACATGTGAAATGTTAAAAGACCCGGTTGTTTGGGTCTGTTCTCTCTTTTGTTTGCCCCCCCTCCTACCCTCTTTCACTCTCTTGATTTGTTTGGGCCTGACTGACACCGAGTCAGACTGGCACTTAATGGAACACTGCCCAGATAGTGTGTGTGTGTGTGTGTGTGTGTGTGTGTGTGTGTGTGTGTGTTTGTGTCTGCGTCTGACTGTACACATGTTCAAGAGGGCGAAGGATCAGAGAAATGTGACAAACTCTGGCACGCTCATCAAAGAGACTTATCTGGAAATGTTCCCCTTCCTCCAGAGCCCTGAGGAATGAGCGGCAGGCGACGGTACAGCACAGATATCTCTGTGATACGGGAATGTTAATGTTGCCTCTCAATGGTCTGTGTGTATGTTTGGTTCCAGACGACTGGAGCAGAACGCCATCAAGGTGATCCCAGCTGGAGCCTTTTCTCCTTATAAGAAGCTGCGCAGAATGTGAGTAGATGAGTAGATATGTGTATTTTACACCCTTTTTAACCGCAGAAGAAAAAACTCCTGTTTCTGATCCGTTTGTGGCCTGTTTTGACCTCCATGTTTCACTTTTTTCATCCACAGAGACTTGAGCAACAACCAGATATCAGAGTTAGCCTCAGACGCCTTCCAAGGTCTGCGCTCCCTCAACTCCCTGTGAGTACTCTGTGAAATGTTTTTATTTAACATAACACTTTAAAGTAAACAACTGTGATTAAAACCTGTGAGGAACATGCTACATCCAAGCTGCAGCTTTTGATGCAAAAAAAAAAAAAAAAAAAACCTGCAGTTCCTCTATCGTCCACTTGAGGCTGGCTCCAAAAGCCCAGGAAGTCCCATTAACACTCATGTTAAAATGTCCAATTTGACAGCAGAATTAAATATGACAAAACTGCACACAAAAGCAAACTTTTAACCCATTCAACAAACAACGCAGTCCACCAATTAGCTTATAACAACTGTAGCTTCATACTTGCATACACTAAAAAACATTAGCATACCTTGTTGAGTATTCAGTTGTAGTTGTAGCTTAGCATTGTTTCTTACTTAGCATTAAGGTTTGACCACTCTATTAGAGTTTTGGCTAACATTAACATTAGCCTCTCTGAATTAAGCCCTCTTAGTAGGTAGTGTAAGCTAATTCTAGCATAGCTGTACCGTACCATACTTGTAGCCACGATAACTTA